ATTCTACCAACCTTCTTGGAACAACCTCCATTGTTTATCAAACAGTTATTAATTTCAACGCAACTTTTGCCATCTCCAGTAAAACCAGCCTTACATTGACATTTACTCTAGAGAAAAAAAAAAACAATCAAAACACAAGGCCTGCATAAAGTTTACCCTACAATATAAAACAATCAATTCACCTGCCCAGGACCAAGGAACTTGCACTTAGCATTACTGTGGCAACTAGGATTGATCTCACAAGGATTTATTGCTGCACACACCAATCCATCACCGGTGAAACCTTTATCACAAGTACAGAYATTGGTACCCGGTCCAGTCTTTGTGCATTTGGCCTGTGAAGAGAGAAAAGAGCTTTTTAAGATACTTAAAAATACACAGTTAACTCTCCACCTTTTTTTAATTTCCTTTTTTTTAATTCTTATATAAACTCTGTAAAAAACCTTTCTCGTAATCGACCATCTCTCGTTATAAGAGACCACTTTTTCCTGATCCCGAGGTGGTCGCTTACGAGAGAGTTGGCTGTATCTTGATAAGTCGAACATGGCCATTTCCATGATAAATTCCACATGAAATTAAAACTGTGGTGCCTACGTTCCATGAGTGTCATGTTCTGTGGTAATGATATTTTCGTCATTAAACATTTTTTTTCTACGCTGTGAGTGGTGTACCGTGTCGTTTATTGTTTATCTCGAGCTGTGCCGTTTCAAGTCATACAAAATCTTATTGTACTAGAACTCTGTGAGTAAATTCATTCAAATGTCGTGTTATGAGATTCGGCATAATTACAAATTAAAATCAGTCTGGTAAGTGAAGTGTTGATGTCATTTGTGATCGATTCCTGACCGGCCCATTCAAGTACGTAGCGCCAATAAAATACTTTTTATCGATATTCTGTGACAATTCTAAAACTTCAATGCAAAAATGATGGAATTTACTTAGCTTGACGACAACATATGCTATTTCAAAGAAACGTAAGGTATTCGATCTTACATCTTTATGACATCCACCTCTATTGGGTTTTGCACAAGGATTGATTTCATAACACTCCAAACCAGAGCCTTCATAACCAGAGCTGCACTTACACCTGAAAAAGAAAACAAAGTAAGGTGGAACCCCGCCTTATACGTTCACCCCGCCATAACGACCACCCCACCATAACGACCACCCCGTCATAACGACCACCCCACCATAACGACCACCCCGTCATAACGACCACCCCGTCATAGCGACCAAAGACACAATAATCGCTGATTCTCTGTGAACTTATTCTCTATAAAGTAAATAATTGAGCAGTGAAATATTCCTGCATTTCAGTGATGCGTCTTTGAGATTTGAAGGTGTTTAATCTTCCAATATTCTAACATGATAATGACGCCAAAGAAGGCTTCATTAGATAAACGAACTTTGAAAAAGTCACTCAAAAAAGTTTTCATGAACGCCATCTGGGAATATAGTTATTTTCTATTGCATAAGATAAATTTAATGCCATGAAACCATTTTAAGCGACTCCTTCAAAGTTTGTACATCTAATCATGAAACCTTCTTTGACGTCATCATCATTAACATATTGTAAGATTGAACCTTAAAAACTCAAAGACGCAACACTGAAATGCAGGAATACAGTCAACTCTCTCGTAAGCAACCACCTCGGGATCAGGAAAAAGAGGTCGCTTACGAGAGATAGTCGCTTACGAGAGTGGTCGTTCAAAGAGAGTTAACTTCATTTCACCATTTTTAAATAATAATTAAAATTATTTCCTTTATATAAAATCGGCTCACAGAAAATCAGCAATTATTGTGCCAGGCGTCAAAGGCACTTTGATGTCCCATACTACTTTTGGGAGTATCAAAGGCGTAATACTCACACATCCGTTCCGTTATCGTTTACACAGCGAGCTTTATAGTGACAACGTAGAGATGGTGACCCAACACAGCTCTTATCAGTGATGTCACAATTATCACCATGGTAACCAGCCTGGCAAGAGTTAGGTTTGCATGTACCGTTACCCTGGATACCATTATCACAGGATCCGTGGACACAGGTACAGGCTGTTGAGGAAAAGGAGTTTAACATTATAATGTGTTTGTTATGTTGATTTTCAAAGGGTGAAGCTTTTCCTCCCGCTGGTGGGTGAGAACTAGCGGTAAACTAGTGTGAGCTGCGTCGGTGTTTCTAAAGAAACAGTTGTGTAAAAAGATAAATTTAACACCGTTAAAAAGTAGGTGGAATAACTTAGTAACGTTTCGGACGTTAATCCTTCGTCGGCTTAATACATACATACGCTGGCTCAACACATACAACGAATTAGATTTAGCATATTTTACTCAAAATTTCAAGTAACTTCGAGTATAGCCCACTGAATGCTATCAACAAGGTCTGCTAACCGTCTTCTACCTAATATATGAAGGCGGGGTCATGGCCGCGTGAGTAGGAAGCAATGTGTTCCGGAATACCCCCTCCCCCTCAACCCCAACTTCACCTCCCTTAGCAGGCAAAATCGTTGAAGTATAAGACACTTGTCAAATCAATAGAGAACACTTTTTCGAATAGTGTAACACTGTGTTATCGAACACAATACTCGTGCAATATTGAAGCCATTCATCTTCGTCTTTAAACACCAGAAAACTCCGTCATGAGACATAATTGTACTGATAAAATTATGAATATGGAGAATTATTGGTTAACAAAAATAAACTATGGATAACAGCCATTATACCAAAATTATACCAAACAGACGCAAGGCACGATAAGTTGGAAGAACCATTCGCAGCAATTGATCTCAATTATCACTAAATACGCTATTAATAATAAATATTCCGAGTGTTTACTGTGCATTGTTTGTTGTAGTAGTTGTGGTTGTGGTTGCTGTTGTTGTTGGTTTTGTTGTTGTCAACGCTTTGTTGTTGTTGCCGTCGTTGTCTGTTTTGTTGTTGTTTTGTTGTTATTGCTGTTGTTGTTGCTGTTGACGTTTTATTGTTGTTGTCTGTTGTTGTGGTTATTGCTGCTGTTGTTGTTGTTGACGTTTTGTTGCTGTCGTTGTCCGTTTTGTTGTTGACGTTGTGTTGTTGTTGTTGTTGTTGTCTTTATTCTTACTCTTATTACAGCTGGAGCCAAACATCGTAGCGTTGGAACACTTTTCACAAGCAAAACCAGTGAATAAAGGTTCGCACTTGCAGACACCAGTACCTTTGATTCTGTCATGGCACTAAAAATGTACAACTCTCGTTAGATTGGCAAATATAGTGTTAATTAACAGAGAAACTACGTTTTAATTGCAAATCGTAAAGCAAGAAATAACAATTAGCTTAGGCATGGACAGTGTAGATAGTAGAGTTGGAGCAAGTTTGGCTTGTGTTAAGAAAGGGAGGCGTACAATGACTATAGGACTGCTTTGGGCTGGACACCAGATGGGTGTAGTTTTGGAGGAAGAACACTTTTTCATGTGAAAATCAAGACCTTGAAAGCTTGCAAACTGAGAAACTCAATGAGATAACAGGTTTATGTATTGTTTCTATATTGTTTCTATTTGTAATTTTTGTTATTCAGCGCATTGTAGTGTAGTGTAGTGTAGTTTAGTGTACAGTAAACTCTTTTTGTATGTGTCGTCGGTTGTAGGTGCTTATTAAATAAATAAATAAATAAATAAATAAATAAATAAATAAATAAATAAATAAATAAATAAATAAATAAATAA